AGAGTGTTCCTATGAAAGCTTTCACAAGCTGAAATGACATCAAGTGAATAGCTTATTCAAGTTTATGTTCTGTCACTTTGCTTTTACAAAAGACCTATATTAGGAAGGTAAGGTAATGATGGCTTTATTCATAAAAGAAAAAAAAAGCCTCTTCGGATTTCTTCCATTTCATGAAAACAGGTACTAATGTAGGTCATCTGTTAAATCTAAGAGGCATAACATAAATGTTTGGAAAGTAGGTGATACCTGTATTAAAATATAAAATCAATCATCTATGCTTTCACCTTAGGAAACTAGAAAATAAGTAGCAAATGAAATCAAACGTAAGCAGAGAAAAGAAAAAACAATAAACTGAGAGCAGAAATCAATGAAATTGAAAAGAGAAAATCAATAATAATCAATGAAACCAAAAGCTGTTTTTCAAAAGACAAATAAAACCGATGAGCCTCCAGCCTAAGAAAGAGGACACATATTGGAAATGAGAGCTGGGAAATCACTAGATTTCATGGACTTTCAAAGAATGTTTTATCCCAATAAATGATCTGAAACTGTTACTACATGAGATAATTCTGTACATGTGCTAAAGAAAGCTTGAAAGTCTCAGTGAATGAAACACTGATACTCTGGAAAATTAAGATAACATATTTTACTTAAGTTTTATTTTTCAATCAAGAATATATAAAGTGAAGGGAGAAAAATCCATGGAAACAGAAATATGCAACAAAATATCAAGATACTACATCACAGAAAAGCAATTTGAGTGAATTTAGACAAAAGAAAATGGGGAATACTATTACAGACTTTTTTAAAAAGTTTATTGGACAAAGGGATAGAAAATAGATAATTGTTCTATCCTCAACTGTAATGCTGCTAGTCAGCCTTTAATAGAACTACAATTCTTCAGTTTCTCTATTAACATACTTAACAATTATTTGACAGAACACTTTTTAGTCTAGGGATATAATCAACTGTTCTATATAATAGGAGAGGTCACAGAAACCTCTTATTGACTGACCAACACTAAGTTTAACATTCATGTGAACAGTAAGCATTGCAATGCTTCAGCGTCAAGCATTTCATTAAAAAGTGCTGCATATGTCAACAAATTAGGACAATGATAGTGATTTTATGTTTGCACTGTTTGAAAACAATTATAGGTGTTACCTCTTAATTTGTCCTTTTTTAAAAAAGTTTATTTATTTATTTTTAGAGAGGGGAAAAAGAGAAAGAGAGGGAGAGAAAAATAAATGTGTGGTCGCATTTTGCGCGCCCCCTTCTGGGGACCTCGCCTGCAACCCCCAGGCATGTACACAACACTGGGAATGGAACCAGCAACCCTTTAGTTTGCAGGCCAGCACTCAATCCACTTAATTTATCCTTTCACTCAAATTTACTCACCTCTATTTGGAAAAAAATAGAACTTCTCAATGTTTCTTTTAATTATATTTTCTTAATTATACTATTACAGTTGTCCCAATTTTCCCCTTTTGCCCCCCTCCACAGAGCACTACCCATTCCCTCAGGCAATCCCCACAACATTGTTCATGTCCATGGGTCATGCATATAAGTTCTTTCACTACTCCATTTCCTATACTGTACTTTACATACCCATGGTTATCTGTAACTACCTGTTTGTACTTAATCCCATCACTTCTTCAGCATTCCCCAACATCTCCCTCCCATCTGGCAACCATCAAAACACTCTCCGTATCCATGATTCTGTCTCTGTTCTTCTCATTTGCTTACAGTTTTTTAGATTCAATTGTTGATACATATTTTTTGTTATTTTATTGTTCATAGTTTTGATCTTTTTTGTAAATAAGTCCCTTTAACATTTTATATAATAATGATTTGATGATGATCTCCTTTAGTTTCTTCTTGACTGAGAAACTCTATCTGCCCTTTGATTCTAAATGATATCTTTGCTGGGTGGAGCAATGTTGGCTATAGGTCCCTGCTTTTCATGACTTTCAGTATGTGTTGCCAATCCCTTCTAGCCTGAAAAGTTTCTTTTGAGAAATCAGCTGTCTTATGGAAAGTCCCCTGTAGGTAACTAACTTTTCTCTTGCTGCTTTTAAGATTGTCCATCTTTAACCTTTGGCATTTTACTTATGATATGTCTTGGAGTGGGCTTCTTCGCATCCACCTTGTTTGGGATTCTCTGTGCTTCCTAGACTTACATGTCTATTTCCTTCACTAAACTAGGGAAGTTTTCTTTATTTTTTCAAATAGATTTCCATTTTTTTCGCACTTTTTTTTCTCCTCCTGGCATTCCTATGATGCAAATATTGGACAGCTTGAAGTTGTTCCAGAGGCTCCTTACACTATCCTTGGTCTTTTTGCAGGGGAGAGGGATTCTTTTCTCTGTTATTCTGATTGGTTTTTTTGCTTCCTTATGTTCCAAATCATTGATTTCTTAGCTTTGACTCTACTGTTGTTTCCCTGTAAATTGTTCATTCCAATTATTGTATTCTTTGTTTCTGACTGGATCTTTTTTATGCTGCTGAGTCCCCACAAAGCTCTTTGAGCATCCTTTTAACCAGTGTTTTGAACTCTGCATCTGATAGATTATCTCCCATTTCATTTAGCTCTTTCTCTGAAGGTTTGATCTGTTCTTTTGCTTGGGCCATGGTCTTTGTCTCATTTTGGCAGTCTCCCTGTTGTTTGTTTCTATGTATTAGGTAGAACTGCTATGACTCCTGTCTTGGCAGTGTGGCCTAATGTAGTAGGTGTCCTGTGGGATCCAGGGGAACAGCCTCCCCTATCACCCAAGTTGGGTACTTGAGGTGTGCCCTTCATGTGGGCTGAGTACATCCTCCTCTTGTAGTTTAGGCTTGATTGCTGTTGGCTGGTCAATGAGAGGGATTTATCTAGGACAGTTAGCTCTAAGGACTGGCTGTGATCACTGACCACCAATCTTCACCCTCTGTGGAGAATCAGCTGTGCAGGTACAGGATGGTGATGCTCCAACGTGGTCTGTATATGCCCATTGTGTGCAGTCTCTGGGGTTTCCCAGGTGGTAGAGGCCAGACAACCCTGACATATGTTCTGCCCTGGGCCACCCTAATGAACTATCAAGAGATCTGAAATGGCTGCTAGTTGTGCTGGGCTTGGAGGTTCCCAGAAGCCAAGCTGTGAACCCAAGCTGGCTGGTGCTAGTGTCAGGCCTGAGGCCACTTTGCAAGAGGTACAGGGGTTGGAAGGTCACTGAGGCCACCTATTGCTTGGTTGAGAGGATTTAGGATGCTGTGAAGCATGAATCAAGACCAGCCATTCATGAGAAAGTGACTGTTGACAGCTTGGGTGGGCCTGTAAGTTGGGTGGGATGGAGTCTCAGGGGATCTCCAGAGAAGGACCAAGCGTTAGCCAGGTTGATGGAATCTGATACGGCTACCACCTATTGGCTTTGTGGGTGAACGGCTCGTAAAAGCGAAAATGGTCTCTGCCCACCTTTCTGTCTGAGCCAAAGCTATCCCCCAGTTCTCACATTGAAGCAAGACACTTCAATTTCTCCCTGTATGCCACTGGTGCCTTTAAAAATGCTACTCTGGTGCTGTAGCTCAGAGGGAGTATGTCTGAGTAATTCTGTGTGGGTTCTTTAAGAGGACCTGCTTGGGACTCCAGCAGTTTTTATCACCAACTCAATCCCCACCGATTTTTGCAGCCAGAAATTATGGGGATTTATATTCCTGGCACTGGAACCCTGGGCTGGGACTCCTCACTCCCAAGATATCCCTCCCCAATTTTATCCACCACACCTGGATGTTGAGCCAGCCCCTTCCACATCTCTGCCCCTCCTCCCAGTCTGGATAGATGTGCTTTCTTTAACTCTGTAGTTGTCAAGATTTCCATTCAACTCGATTTCCAACAGTCCCAAGTGATGGTTGTTTTAGTTTAGTTGTAATTTTGACAAGGTTGTGCAAGGTGAGCCATTTACCTATGCTGCCATCTTGACCAGAAGTCCCAACAAAGGGTTTCAGTACACACACACACCCGCCAAAAACCACCACCACCAAAAAAACCCTCACCCTGAAGTAGTATCTCTTTGGGTAAAAAACTTGCCAAGTTACTGCTTTCTTAAAAAAGGGAGGTGGAGGGAGGGACAATCTTGCAAATTTTTTTTACCCATTTAGTGAAAATTAGGTAATTTCATTTTTTTTATATGTAATGACTGTAGTAATCAGTTTATTACACAGATTAATCATTCTTGAATGTACAAGCTCCAGAGGAGCAACTGGGTCTTTAAATATACACAAGTATTTCCATCAAATGAATTTTCACCCTTTTCCAGAGACCTAAGCAGTTAAAAACATAAGAAAAATAAGAGCTATTAGCTATGTTAACTGAGAAACCACATACAAACCAAAGAATATAAAAGAGAAAAAGAGGGGCTGAAAGGACAAGGATTAAAGGGTGGGGAGATGTAAGAGGTGGGAACAAAGCCCATCACAATTTACATACTAATAGCTCCAATCCAGTTAAACTTAGACCGTAAAATGGTAGGTTTTAATCTGGTTGGTCGTAACTTTCACCTAAAACGTAGGTCCTTCAGCATAAATGAATACAGAAACAGCTTCATGATCTTCACCTTGCTTTTCATGTTTTGAGTTTAAAAGAATCTCACTTAAAAACCATCTCCTGTAAGTCAGTGGAGCTTTTCTTCCCCATCCAAGCACACACCATACCCACCACCCCTCACCTTCCTGTTATCCAAATTTAAATCAATAGGAAAGCTTTTAGTCTCACACCTAGGTTACACCTGGAGAACTGGCTTGTCACACACATACTTCTCTGCTAGGAGGCAATGTTGGTACAGAAGTACAGTATTTCTAGTTTGTTGTTCCAAGTATGTACAACACGCAGAACTGCTGTATCAGGTAAACATGTGCACAGGGGAAGATGAGGCGTGGGCTCATAGAAAGCAGTCAAATGGAAATCAAAAGGACTTTCTCTTTCAGAATTCCCCTATCTTTATTTGTAGATGTTACCCAGTAATTTAATTACATCGCATACTTCTGAGTCCCTTCCCGACCTATTCTGTTGTACTTTTCTGTTTTGTAGATCCGAGCAATCTCAGGCACTAAGGGATCATCTGGATTAGGATCACACAACAGAGAACAGAGGGTCAAGAGTACTTTTGAAATAGTTAGTGCTGGAGACCACTGTGACCATAGAATGTCAAGACAAATGCTGCCATTACTGTTAATATTTGGATGATAAATTCTTGTTGTAAATGCCTTAGGTGGTTTGAAGGGGTAATCTGTTGGGAAATGAATTGTCAAGAAAAATACTCCACCCTGATAGGGACTGTCGTTTGGCCCCATTATTGTAGCTTGCCAATGGAACGTATCATCTCCAACAGGACCTGCTGAACACTGTGCTGGGGGGTCCCGTGCCAGGGCATTCAATTCTTTGTGGATTCTCTTTAGAGCCATTGTGGAAGGCGGGTGGCGGCAGCCCCCGGGGCGGGAACGGGGACAGGGGAGGGACAGGGAAGGGGCGAGGGGGTGCAAGGCTGCCTCGGTGATCGTGGGTGTACCGGAGATGGGAGAACTCGGTCCGGCGGGACCTATTGAGGGCCAAGGCCCACTGGGCTCCTGCGCCTGCCGCAGCGGTCACCGCATCACCTGGCGGTGGCCCCTTTATCATTTTCTTAACGCAGTCATTTCCAACGACAGTAAGATCTACCTTACATCACAAGACTATATGAATTCTCCATACTCCCTTTCTTCAAGGTGTGAAAGGATCTCCGATGGCTTTTTTAAATTAATACAGTGGTAGTTTAACTGTAAACACTGAACCTTTGAAGTTTAATACCTCACCCCATAAAGCTACACATACTATACCACATCTTAGTTTTACTCAATAAGAAATGATACCTTTTATTTGTAGGGAGTAAGAGAAAATTCATCTAGTGAGCTAGGAAAGTAACCTGTTTGACAATCAACTACTTAATTACAATTTCCTTTCATTTGATCGTTTTTGTTGTTGTTTACAAGTCAAAACTATACATTATTTTACAAGCACAGGTTTTGATTTGAAAATAAAATTTCAATCCACAAATTTATATCAATTATACAAGCATGAGTCATTAAAAAGCTAGTTTATAAAATACTTGAGTATATAGAAAAATTAAATTACTCATAAGATTACCAAGTTGTCTTTAACAACTTAGTAAGTATAATGAACTACATACCTTTACTGCCTTAACAAAAAAATTACCATATTTTGCTGTGTATAACATACTTTTTGCCCGTTTTTTTGAATTTTTTTTAAGATGGAGAGGAGAGAGGAAGAGAAACAATACGTGGTTGCCTCTCACAGGCCCCTTACTGGGCACCTGGCCCATAACTCAGGCATGCACCCTGACTGGGAATCTAACCGACGATCCTTTGGTTTGCAGGCTGGCACTCAATCCACTGAGCCACACCAGTCGGGGTAAATTTTTGAGGAAAAATAAGGATGCGCATTATACATGGGCAATATTAATTCCATATCTATATAAATGTTTCTAATTATTTATGCTTATGCATTAAGTGTAACTGCAGAAAGCAGTAACATCACCTATATGCAAAATAATACCCTGGGATATGATAGTACTTTGTTCTAAATATAAACAAAAAATTGAATTAAAAAATTACAAGATTTTTTTCCTGAAAGTTTGGAGCCAAAACATTGGTGTACAATATACACAGCAGTGCATTATATACAGCAAAATACAGTAGTCACATGCAGCTCTCTGCAGTTCTGAAATTTGTGAAGCTAAAAAGTGCTTGTGAACTTTTTTCATGTAGAAAAGCAGCATCACTAAGTCTATATATTCTGCCATGAAACAGCACTTGAGTTTTTAACTAACCTAAGCTGTGAAACAAACACATGCATACATGATTTTTTGAGCAGTTCATTTTATTACAGCATTTTACTCTTGATTTGAGTTTAGAAATGTACAGTGTCAAAGTTTTTATCAAATAAAACTAATTTTTTAAGTTGCTTCCCCACCTTGTTATACACACAATAGCAACCCATATTTTATTTCCAATTTAAACAATTAATAAATTCACTGGGATCTGTATTATTGTTCACAGTATGTAAAATATATAAATCAACTTTGCTAAATAAGAAAATCCATTTCAAACATCTTTAAGACTCAAAAAGAACACACACAATTACACATTTTATCATTTTATTAGGAATAATTCCAAATGGGCTATGAAGAAAACTTATTTGAGTTTGATGTGTTTTCCAAAAACTCTTAATGAAGATATGTTCACCAATAAACAATAAAATATCAGCAGAACTATCATATATTGGGCAAAGAGTCAGGCTGATTCCAAAAGCAACATGCAACATAAAAAAGATACATTATAAAGAAAGACAATCTGCTGGATATTAAAAATCATCTCAATATGAACTCTTCGCTACCAGCACAGAACTGATTAGCTATCAAATCCAAACCACACCAAGGTAAGCTTGGCTGATAGAAGCCAGGAGTCAATAATGGGGAAAAAAATACTAAGTTCCTCAGTGCGAGAGATCTCAATAGTGTTTTGGCTCATTGCCCTGGCTGGTACAAGTAGTATAAGAAAATCTTTTTAGCAAGGGAGAAAAATAAATACAAATGGAATGCTACATTCTTTTTTATTTTTTAATCAGGAGACTGTCCCAGGAATGATAAAGGTATCAGTAAAGTAGCAAGGGGATAACTTAAAAACATTATTTGTTGTGGGCTCAAAAAAAAACATTCAAAACGATTTAAAGGTGTCACAATAGCTAAGTCCAGGCATTTAGGTGTAAAGGAAGTAAAATTAAAAGAGGACACTTTTTTTTTTCCAAGTTAAGGAGAATTTCTTTAAAACCAAGCATATTGCTAAAGTGCAACATTATACTTGGTAAACAATAATTGGCAACAAAGTAAGTTTAAACGCTGTAATATTCTGCCCAAACCAGTCCCAGATACTGTTTAATAACCAAGATGCAAACTAATTTTCTTGTAACAAGCCTAGGCCAATTCTATCAAACACGTCCTTGGTTAGACATCCAGTTTCATTTAACGTTTTGAAAGCTCATTTGACAGCCAGTCAAGTCCCTCATACAGACCAGTTCCTTGTGTAGCACAAGTGGCTTGAACATACCACTATAAAGAAAGGACAAGAAAACACTTGATTAATGTAAGATTATGTGTAAGAGTGTATAAAACTTATTCAGAAAATTATTTTCCCAACTGCTCAGAGGTATTATTTAGTCAGCAGTTACCATAAATGTATAGGAAAGAAAGGAAACAAAAAATATATAAAACCATAGAAATAAATAAGTATATTAAAGTAGTACATCTCAAATGATTTTGTATTTAACGATCTTAGTAACTATAAATGTTGGAAGTTTTCTCATAACTCTTGCTTCTCAAAACACTCTCACATTTAAAGTTACTCCTACCTAGACGTTAAACTTATTCCACTATCCACTACTTAATCTGAAAAGAACATTCATGGCAAGATTAGTAACTAATATAAAGCTACCCCCCGCCCCGGTACTTAAAACCCTCTTGTTTCCCATCAAAAAATACCTAGAAAGCAATTTCATTACCTAAAATGGATAGTTTATTTTTATTAATTTCTTTATTGATCAGGTTTATTTTGCCTTAGAATAAAGACCTTCACTTAATATTACAAGGTCACTGCAATTATTCCATGCTGGCAAATATTATTTGAATACCAAACATCCTAGAAGGCTGGGAAAAGACATGAATTTCTATCATCAGAGGATGGAAAACTGGTATCATTTGCAGTTTGTTTTATTTAAATCAGCCTGGAACACCTCAAACAGTCTTTGCAGTTACTGCAACAGCACAGTATTTTGTTACAAGCTAATGAAAAACTACTATAAAGCACAAAGCACACTAATAGTTTGTGATACCAACTTTACACATAGGAACGTATGTTGTGTTTGCCAATATTTAAATCACTGATGTAAAATAAGCTATAAGAGAGCAAATATTTCTTATAATTTTACATTTCAAAACTTAGTATCATAATAAGGTCCCACAAGCTTCTGACATTATCATGCAAACAGTACAAAACAGTAATATCTAAAATATGGCTGCTAAGAGCCAAATTACAAAGTATTTGCTGCAGGGGTATTTAAAACATAAAATTAAAAATATCAATCATCTTTAAATATTATCATTCTCATACAGTATAGTTTTCCAGATATTTATCAATATTAAACATTGTGAGGATAAAGTTAACAAACATCAAGTAAAGATATTTAAATCCTTGGATCCTTAACAGATATATATTAAAAGCTAAAAAAAAATGGAGACAGTATTAGCATAAAGTAAAATTGAACACAACATTTATAAAGGTATGAAATAAAGAGCTCATGTTTGTATATACAAGAGTTTACTACTGTAAATTAATGTTCACTGTCTGTTCAAAGGGGACAGTTAATAAATTTTTAAACTAAATACTAGCTAAAACACTTATCTTAATAATTCTAAGAGTCAGGAGGTTAATTTAAACCAAATACTTACTGTTCTGTTACGAAGGGACTGAAGACCTAATTTATCCGTCATTTCACTGATGGCCATAGCATTTGGCAAATCCTGTTTGTTTGCAAAAAGCAGCAATACCGCATCTTGCAACTCATCTTCCTGAAGCTGAAAATAAAAGCTAAGACATTAACAACTATAAAACTGGGATCCAATTACTGTAACAAACTAGGTAAAACACTGTCTTCCTACATATACTATTTACAACTTAGATCTCTTTATCTTTCTGTTTTTAAATCCTTAGCAAATAATTATGTTTTTGTGTAAAGCAAAATTTTTCAGGCCAATCATCCTATACTCCATTAAGGTAAATCATTCACTCAGCTTTCGTGTTCATCCACTGAAGGTCAGGACTGGCTAGTACAAGAAACACGCATGGCAATAAATATTATGATAGGATCTTATGGCACTTAGTAGTGAAAGTACAATATTTAGATAATGATTCTTTTTGGACTTTTATCCTTTCCTGCCAGCTGGACTAGAAAACAGTGAGACAACAATGTAATGGTTAGGGAATTAACAGCATCATGAAAAATGCAAGAATAAGTACCACACAGACAATAGTGTGGTGACTGCTGGGGCAGGGGGTATAAGGGGACTAAATGGTAATAGAAAAAATACAAAATAAAGCAGAAACAAAGAGCTACTACTACCCTTCACAACAACATGGATGAAACTGGAAAGCATTATGCTAAGCGAAATAAGCCAGGGGGTGAAAGACAAATACCAAAAGGACCCACGGACAAAGCCAAAGTGGGGAAGGATTGAGGGTGGGAGGTAGGGGTGGGTGGGACAGGAGAAAGTGGTGGCAGGAAAACGGAGACAAATGTATTTGAACAATAACAACAACAAATTAAAGCAAAAAAGAAAAAAAATAGAATAAATACCAAGAGTAGAAAGCCAGTAGAAATGAGGCACTGATACATGATATAATATGGATGAACCTTGAAAATTTATGCTCAGTGAAAAGTAACAAAAAGTTTAACCACATGTTGCATGATTCCAAGTATACGAACATCCAGAATAGGTGTATGTATAAAGACAGAAAGTAGATCAGTGTATATAGGGCTGGGGGTGTAGGGTGGACTAAGGAAAGGAATGGGTAATAAAATGGAACTATACTATAGTTTCATAGAACTATTAGTATAGATATTATATATATATATTATATATATAATATAACATATAATATAATAACAGAACTATTAGTATAGTTCTATGATTTCTTTGTGGGCTGATGTAAAATTAGGCAATGGCAATTGCTGTAACATTCTGTAAACTAATAACCAGTAACTTTTTACATTTTAATGAGTGAAGTTTATGGTATGAGACTTATTTCAAAGCTGTTTACAAAAAAAGGGGGGGTGGGTAGAAGGGATGACATTTAACTCATTAGACCAAAATAACCCCACCAGTTATTTTGTTACACATATACTGACACAATGGTTTTACAACTGCACTCCAGTCTTAGGAACAATGAATGGTAATTAAGATTTCATTTGAGTGAAAATTGTATGTTACAATTTGAAACTATGACAAGTTTCCTCAACAACTCCCCAATCAGGCATTTTAGCAACAGGAATGAAAACATTAATCCATTATATGGTGAGGCCAAAATGCCACTGTCAACCAAAATCCTACTGCCTGTCAGTGGAATTCTTTATCATGGTTACTATTACAAAACATTTCAAAGTATATATACACACTATAGACACAATACAAAGAAAATTGAACCCAATGAAAAGGAATTTGAACAAGGATCCTTACGTCACTAAAGTTTCAAAACTAGATTTTATATCTATAAAATAAAGACTGGACTAATATGTAGACTGCCTGAACCAGCGATACGCATCAAAGTCACTCATGGAGCATTCTGAAAACAAGCTGGGCTTTCTTCCTAACTTACTGAAGTAGCTACTCTTCTGTGTGTTTTTTAAGAAGCTCCATATGAGATTTTTATGTGCATTCTTAAGAACCTGTGATACAGTTCCTCAAGGTTCTTTCTAGCTCTAAAATGTTTCATTTGTGTAATGTAATCACAGTTAAAATGTGCCAACCATTACCACCACTATCACCCAAAAAATGCATCCTGGAAATGATAAAATTTTAAAAACCTACCCCCCCCGTGAAAAAAATAAAATAAAATATTGTTACCATTTTTTGCAGCTCTTCGGCTCCTTCCTGAATTCTTTCGCGATCATTGCTATCTACCACGAAAATAAGACCCTGGGAAAAAATTAAATAAATTATGACAACTAAATTTAAAAGACACTAAATATGAAACACAAGTACAGGCAGCAAAACGGTATCAAGAGGTCAATTTTGGGAAGAAAATGCCCTATTATTTTAAAAATAGAAAAAGAAAAGGGATCTAAGCACTGAAAACCAATTTGAGCACTATTTTTTATCTCAGTATTTGAAATGTTATTTTACTTATTTACTTATTTTTGAAATGTTTATTTTAAATCAAAAGAAATCTTACTCTTAACCAACTGATCACTTTTCTCAACTGCACAAAGAATAAATTTTACCCCATTCCCCTCCTTCCCTATGCCCTTGCATGTTTTAAGTGTAGGTAAGTTTAAGTAACAAAATGGCTACAAGTGGGGACAAAAGGAAAAGAATACGCCAAATTCATCAATTTACTAACTGAACTAACTTATTTAAAGGTGTGCCCAAATTGTTAAAAAAAAAAAAAAGAAGAAGAAGAAGGGGAAGAGGCACACTACAGCAGTTTTTCTATGTTTCATCAGGAAAAGTTAGCCTTGCTCCAGAATGTTGCCTCCCAACTCAATCAGTGTAAGGAAGTCTTAAGCAAAATATATTAAGAAAAACTCATGGTTGACTTTATCAAATAAGAAATTCTTAACAAAAAGGAAGGTAGTAATCATTCCTAAAGATATTCATAAACACTAGAATTCTATACTACAAAAGAAGTGGAATTGGGAAGCAGTTAAATAAAGACTCTTCTAAAAACTTTAAAATGGGAAAGTATAAAAAAATTCTCAACTGGAGAGAGGACAGATTAATTTTACAGCTTTATGAAAATCTATTCTTATTAATAGTAAAGTGATTACTTTGAAGGTTCTCCCCATAATCCAGACCACAGATCATTTGTCACCTTCATCACAAACTGTCTTGTATTATTTATGTAAGCAACTAGATTAAATCCACTGAGGGCAAAAGGCCACATACATCATTTTGTATTTACCTCTCAGTATTACACTGAGTTTGCTGAGGTATCTAATACTTATTTAAGGCAACAGTCAGTATTAAATCACACAGTATCATTTTGATCTAGCAACTTTCAAACCCATCTCCTTTATCTCTGTTGGAAACCATCATTTTAAACATCCTAATCTTTGAAAAAAAAACTTTTGGCAGTGTGAGAGCCAGTATGGCATAGTTAAAGGTACCCAACTTAAATCTCAGTAGCACTTATTAGTTATATAAATTACCTAATCCATAATCATGACTCCTCTTCTATAAAACAATACCACTAACTTTATAAGCCTTTTAAAAATTAAATATAAAAATATCTAGTATCATGCTTGGCTTACCACATTTACTTATATTTTGGCTCCTCCTTTTTTCCTATTCCCAAAGCTATTCCATTTTAGAATCTACCCCTCTAGAAGAGTTAATGCGGCTAAAAGGGATCTAACTTTTTCTGTGTTAACAATCCATTTTCATTCTGTTTTAAAACAAATAATGCTATCAGTCCTGAAGTAATGTTATTGAGAGGGAGAATTATTTTAAGAGTAAATTCTAAGTTATTCACTTCCTTGGACAGCCTAGAATCAAGAGTATAGAAAACCTAGGATTCCAAAGATAAACTTGGCTATGCTAAGAAAAGATTAAATGGCCAAAAATTTACTTAATTATCTATAACAAAATAACTGGAATTATCTAGTGAGGAAAGAGGAATTTACTATAATAAACATTGTCCTTGATTGTTAACACAAGTTAGAAGCACAATTAAATGGCATAATTAGTTCCTTATAAATTTTACAGCTAAAAGAAGAGCTTAACTGTCATTGCATCAGGTGGCAAACACTTTCTCCAGCAGGCATGAAGTCCCTAGGAAGAAGTACTTGGACTTCAGATTTAAGGTGATCTCAAGAGGCCAGGAATGGATCTAATTTCAAGTTAAGATCTCAAAGTAAATTATAAAATATTCTTAAAAAACCCTAGGGATAAGACCAGGGTTACCTTTGGTTAAGAATTAAAAGGCTAAGGATTTAAAAAGTTCTACTTCACACCTAATTTTACTTCAAAAGAGTTTGTTTCCTAAATGAAATACCTGTAACTTACTTCAGTTTTTCCTATGACTTACTTTAAAATAATCCAAAAGGTGAAGTACATTACAGAGGAGTACTGATTAAACAATACTAGCCATATCCTAATAATTGAAGTTAAGTAATAGATATGTGGGACTTTGTTATTCTCTCTCCTTTTGGGTTATCTGAAAATTTTTAAACCAGATTTTTAAAGCATGTGACTCGTATCAAAATATCTTTTCTAACCACAGCTATGCTAATGAATAGAAACATTCTAAAACCAAGCCACTTACTTAACATGCCATACTACTTAAACCTGGTTGCTTTCAGCCACTCATCTGGGGTATTCACTGCTACCTGGTGACAATGTAACCTCATTTGTAAACAATGTTGTGTTAAAGACCAAGAATGACTGACATCTGCAAATCTTTAACACGAAGTGCCTGTCAACATCACACATTACTTTGGAAAACACAATAGGATAGGAAGCAGGTTAAACAGAAACGCAGAACAAGAACCAGCTCTCCAGTCTTAAGTAATCATTCCAACCTTGTTTCCTTACATGTAAGAGTTAAGACTAGAGTGGTGGTTCTCAAAAGAGAACAATTCTGTCCCCAGGGGATATTTTGCAGTATATGGAGACATTCTGGGTTGTTGCAACTGGGTTGGGGGGAAGGAGGGTGTTATTTACTGTCACCAAGTGGGTAGAAGCCAGGAATGCCCAAAATGTATATAGTGCTGCTGTTGAAAATCTCTGTAATAGAGCTTGCTCTTCCCTCAAAGTAAGGTCCCCAAACCAGCAGCATCAGCACCACAACCTGAGACCTTGCTAGAAATCTCAGGCCTTACTCAGCCAGACCCTAAACTGATTGGTATTTTAACAAATACCCAGGTACTTATTGGCACATTAAAGTTTGAGAATTACTACTAATACCTGGTTGGTATCTCCAGAGATTCTGATTCAAGTGGTCTGGAGTTACGATTAGGGCTTTGGGATTGTGAAAGCTCTCCAAGTGATTCTAATGCACAGCCAAATTGTGAAGTTCTGCTTTAATGTCTCTTCCAAGTCGGTATTATATACACTACATGCTAATATAAAAATATCTTACAAATCAATTGAGATCTACTTTAATATATTTTTGTAATGTATTTTAATAAAGTAACAATTAACTGGGCTAAAAAAAGGAATATCTTACATTCATTAAAAACTATAAAGACAGAAAGTTACACAGACCTTATTTTCTAAACTAATAATAAAACCAAAAGTACTACTGATGAGACATCTAATTCAATCCTGAGAACAACCTCCTACTTTAAAATATTACTATGATAGCTATGTAAATTCCATTGACTACTTTAGCCTTCAAAGGCTTGAATGAGAGTCTACTGAAGAATATGAAGTAATGATAAGAGGCATGCCAACTCATATAGTAAATACCAACAGCTAGTTAAATGGTAGATATTAATGTAAACTCTAGAGCATGAAATCTATAAAGAAAAGTTATTAAAAATGTACAGCATTCCTTACCTGGGTATTCTGGAAGTAATGCCTCCAGAGAGGCCTTATTTTATCTTGACCACCAACATCCCATACTGTAAAACAAATGTTCTTATATTCTACTGTTTCCACATTAAAACCTACAAAGAAAAACACAAAAGACTGTTAAGCACAATGTTATTAAGAAAACAAATCCCTTTACTGTGAAATTATCTCACAGTTGCTTCTTAAAAGTCCCACTAGATAATCAACAAACTTAAAAACCTAAGAGTTATAATGATGAATGCATGTCATTGTACATTTGTCTAAACCCACAGAATGTACAACAAAAATGAACCCTAAGGTAAACTATGGAATTTTGGTGACTGTGATGCAAAAATGGAGGTTCACCATCAACTGTAACACTCTAGGTAGTGATATTTGAAAATAGGGGAAGATATGCATGCATGGGGGCAGGGGATAATTTGAGAAACATCCCAATTTTTCTGTGAACCTAAAACTGTCTTAAAAACATAAAGACTTTAAAAAACAAGGCAGTTTCAAAATTATTATTCTATTTCAGTTTATAATAATCACCTGTAAACTTTCTTACCAATGGTAGGAATGGTGGTGACTATCTCCCCTAACTTCAGTTTATACAGAATGGTCGTCTTGCCAGCAGCATCCAATCCAACTAGAAAAAGACATCACAGATTTTAAATCTAAGTCAAAAGTACACCCTAAAAAATACTTTTACAACAAATATATAGTTTGAAAGCTATAATTGACTGGTCAAGGCACAAATGAGTTAGAAATAAAATTCTCATTTCTGATTTCCAAAAGCAACGTATCCTATAGAAAGTGTTGCCTTTTCATTTCTCTTTCTAGGCCTTAAGAGGTAGCATGTAGTGTAAAGAAAAGAGTAGTATCTGACTGACTCAGGTTTTAATCTCTAAATTTGCTTTGCCACAAACTAGTCAACTTCCTTTGAACAAGTCACTTTAGGAAACTGAGGCCAGAGGAATTAGCTATAAAATAAGGGGACTGGATCAAATAATCTATATTTTCCGCCTCAAATATGTAGAAATTCTACGATCTTCTAGCATTTTAAAAAAACACAAATCAAACGTGAAGTCAGAGAACACATAAGAACAAGTGGAAAAGAATTAACCTGAAGATTAGTAAACTCAATACTATGCCCTAGTCTCATAAATGAGAAAGCAAAATGAGGACAATTTTACTCCTACTTAACGTTCAACGTTAAACATGCCAAAATAAGAACAAATGACTAGTTAATCATATTCATCTCCAATATATGTCTAAATTCTTAAAATGCTTCGTTTTGAAACTATACAAGTGTGGAAGAATAAAATTTGTTTTTGAAAAATTCCACAGTAGGACAAGAGGGCATATTACTTATTACAGTGATAGTAAAAAGCAAATTAAATGCTTACTTTCAGTATGAATCTCTCAAAATCTGCACATTCTACATTGTTTGCTAACGCCTTCATAAATAGGTCAATATCTAATAAGCTCATTGAATATACCATTGTTGTAAGGACATCACATTTGGCCACCTGGATTTCCACTACCACAGATTCTGAAATTTAACTGTATATTGATTTAAGGAAGGATGTTTTTAAAATACTGAATCAAAGCAAGATTTGGCACACAAAACCAAAGCTATTAAGTATTAAAAGAAAACCAGAAATCACCTTATTTACCTAATTTACAATTCTGTGCAAGAAAGTTTAATTTTTATCAGTTACTTAAAAACAGATCTAAAAGCTACAGACAATTCAGACTCATTCCACCCATATAACAACCCTTTCTGCTTTGTTCCCTATAAAGGGTAGCTTTTAAGACCTCTCGGTAAACTTGGGCATCTTATATCTTCCTATTCCTGTGTCCTCTAATCAAACTTTGTCCCCACTTCTTCATACTAGGATTCAGGTTTATTCTTTCCAAAATACTATTACATACTTACTAGACAGAGTGAGCAGCCCACTCTCAGCCCTTACTCATGGACATAAGAAAACCCAACCGTTAGCAGGAAGTGTTTTGTTTGAATATGGAACATTACCAAAAAGATCAGAAAACATAATTCTAAAAAATAAACAAAAGTAGCTACCTTAAAGTTTGGCATCTTCAGTAAATATACAGAAAACAGAAGAATAATGTATGATCTTTTCACTGTTCAGAAAAGCTGTCTCTTGAGAGCATAAATCCTCCTCAGGTGATTTTGATCAAATTTTAAAATAAAGCAAAATTCCCCTTTAAATAAGTCCAAATACGAATAAGCCCAAGTCAGAAGAATTGAAATTGAGAGGTTGATTAAAAAACATTTGAGTTACGAGTCTGAGAAGTATGGCACATGCCAGTCCTCACTGGGGTCCAAATGGACCTCATACCACTGTTTAAAAACAATGTATATCCAAAAACATTGACAAGGAATGGAAGAAAACCAGGAAAAATTTTGATTATGTAACTATTCTAAGTTATTGTAATCTAATTTTCTTTTAATAAAATTTTGTACCTGCTTGTATGCATAATTAATAATATTCTAATTCCATATTGTTAGATTTTTTGGTAATACAATAAAAATACATGTTACTTTCATTAAAAAAGAACAAATTTCCCAAGCAGATTTCCTTTATTAAAATGCTGAACTGGTTAGGTTCCTGATGCATCTGTCAGAAAGATGACTTAAGAACCTCAAATTTATTTATTTATTTATTTATTTATTTTAAAGGGAGTATAAAATAATGTAACCATAAAGTTTTTAAAGCATCCACAAGCTATTTTTAAATTAAAAGTTATAAGACAATATTTAAATGAATTGCAGCCACAAAGATTGTAAAATCATGAAGATATCTTTTGACTCGCACCCAAAATGATAGTGCTATACATATATGAAAACCAGAAATTCTTTTAAAAGGTATTTTCTATTGAAAGATGTACACATTAATGTACACCATCACTTAAAACTCATTATATAGGTCTTTCTTTACTCAAAAACATGTTTGTCTAACAATTTCGTGTTACTTTAGTAATTTAAGTTTGTATTTCCTTAATGTTGCAATATTTGGCAATGAGACTTCTCCACAAAATGAAAAGTATAACCAATTCTCAACTAGTCAAGATAAGACTCTAATCTATACAGTCCAGTTATGTCCTCCCTCCCTACCACTCCAATAAACAACTCGCTGTACTGAAAGATACACCAAAATTCCTTGTTCTCCTTAACTGAACCTACACTTTGAGAAGTGTTAACACACAAAAATACGCCACAAAATCTTTACCAATCATTAAAAAATGTTTAACTATGGCAGCAAGAAATACTTACATTTCAAATTAAGCTAGACTCCAGTTATGTTAACTTGGAGAGAAAAAAAAATACAGAAAGAAAAAGGAATGGAAAGAAAAAATGTATATTTTCAGGTGCCTAAGATTTCAGATAATAATTTTCTTCATTTTTTTCCTTTATCGTTCCAATTTTCTACAAGGAAGCTTGAAATACAACTTCATGGTAATTTAAAATTGAGTGTTTACTGTGTTCCAACCACACAAATGTAGGTGATTCCATACATTTTTATAATTTATTCTCCACAATAACCCTCCATTTCTCAGATGCAGCATATGAGGTCCAGAAATGTCCCCAGAATCAGAGTAATAAAAGAGAACCGATATTCAAACCGTAGACTTTGTGGAGAAATTAATTCCCTCATACTGGTAATAAATGTAAAATGGTGTAGCTGCTTTGGAAAACAGTTTGTCGGTCCCTCAAAATGTTAACAAACAAATCGACTCCTAGGTATTTATTTACCCAAGAACATTAAAAACACATGCCCACACAAAAACTTACAAATGTTCATGGTAGTATTATTCATAGTAGCCAAAAAGTGGAAACACATTTCCATTAACTGATGAACAGATAAACAAAATGTGGCATATATACATACAACGAAATTATTGGTTAGCTATAAAAAGGAATGAAGTACTGATACATGATATAGTATCAATAAACCCTGTAAACATGATGTGCTAAGTGAAAGAAGCTAGACGCCAAAAACATATTGTACAACTCCATTATATGAAATATTTTAAATAGACAAACCCATAGAAACATGACAGTTTATGGGCATGGGCTTTTTTTCCTGGGCTGATGGAAATGTTCTAGAATTAAGACAGTGGTTATGGTTACAAAAGTTGGTGACTTTACTAAAAACCACTGACCTGTATATTTTTAAAGGGGTGAATTTCATGTTATATGAATTATATCTCAATTTTTTAATTAAAAAAACAACAAAAAAATTCCTAGTCTGATGCTAGAGCTCTCAAATAGCATTCATACACTGCCATCCTGCCTTTGAATTTTTATGATGGATACACTTTATCTTAATATTTTATCTAATTACTCAGAGGTCTGACCACCAGAGGATCCTCCTAAACCTCTCTGGTCTCCACCACTCACCGTGCCCCACCCCTCCCAGACAAAACAGTCACATATAAGGTCAAGGCAGAACTTTACTGGTATTAGCAATCTTTTAGAAAGCTACACTTTTACAGCTTTTCAACAGTAAGGAACTTGCAAGTTCATGGAGTAGAATTATTCCTCTACAGAATACATTAGTGGTGTTCAGATATAAACAAAATGTGGGGAGTCATTCACCAAAATTACCTCTTACTAGATCAAGATATGGAAATCATATTTAAAATAGCGTAATGAAGGGCTACATGAGAGAGATTTAACTTGGAAAACTTGAATTTAAGCTCAGTATCAGTCACAGGAGTGATTTCTCCTTGGGGGAAAAATAACTACAACTGACAGATTTCTGTCAATCTATAGTTTAAATGACTTTAAATCTGATACTGCTGTTAATTAACTACAAGCTGTAACTTCAAACACCTTTTAAAATTACTTGAACTTCTGGAAGCAGGAATAGGAATAAAATTTAAAACTTCTCCACAGTCATTTGGCAAACCAGACTCAGTAGCTAACTGCTACCTCTTTAATTCTAATACTTCAATAGAGGTAAACATCTTCAGAGTATCTATTATTTATGCTATCACTCATAAAGCTGGACAAAAATTTCTAAGAATTATCAAGCTTCCAAATCACCTTTTTCTCTATACATCATATGGCTTCATTTGATGAGTTGCCGTAAAAGTTGTCCTTTTGACTGCAGTGTTTTTAATCAAGAAAACCTGATTATCCTGAAATTATAATGCAAAACAAAAATACCAAATCTGAATAATAAAATATTTAACATAAAATAAATAATTCCAGATCATGACTTCTATCCCCTGCACAAATGTAAAGTTAAGTACTTTTCTTCTTTCATTTTCTTTGCATCATTTTTGGGGGATAGGGGAAGAAATGCTCCCTTAATAGAGCAAGAACAGAAAAGTGCCTTTAGCATAACCCTACCTTTTTCTCCCCCTAAACTTTTAGCCATTACAAAGACTAAGGGAATGATAAACAGGAATTCATTTCTAATAATCTTCAGTAAAAGGATCAACCATACTACATTTCCAGGAACACAAGGACATACTAGTTAATCTCTTTAAGGAACAGGCTGAAAAGTCATTTATCACAGTCCAAAGTCCTCCCATTGACTTCAGATCCTTTTTTAGACTGCCATTTTTCAGAGACTTTTAAAGCCTAAATAATATGGTTGCTCTACTAAAATCCATTGTCACAAATGAAATCTGAGAAACTCTTTGAAAAAGAAAATATTTTGATTTACCTTTGTGAATGTTTCATTAACAACTGTTCCATCAATTGTGAAGAAGTTAGACTCTTAACAGAAAAATAAAAAAAGAAAAAAACAACTAAATGTGTTTACCCTTAATCTTAATACACATTAAGATTACTGAACCTTGCTTTGGAAAACTTTTCAATGGTAGAACTCGAAAATAAAACCTTTACCCCTTCCAGCCTCTAAGAAACAAGACAATGAACCAACAAGTTTCAATTTTAAAGTTAGAGCAGCACTTAACATTACTCGTACCCATGGAGCTTAACTGTGATAGAGAGACTACTCACAGTACTATGGGGGAGGGGTTGCTTACATCACCCAAGTGACAAGTCCCTTCTCCCCCAGCTAAGTCAAAAATGACCCCGAAAAGCAGTTTCTGAAAAGCCTATTTTCCAAAAAAAATTTAAAAAGAACCTTTGTAATTAAGAAGACTACAATAAAATTAAGCGTCATGATGTTGTTACTTAAGATGTGTTACCAGCTTTAAAACAAATTACTTTCTAAAAATTTTTCTCATTATACCTACCCAGCTGGACTAATAAAATTAACGATACAACAAATCTGAAAACCAAACAGAGTGAGCCAAACATACTTGGTTTTTGAGAAAGGCGAACAGAAACATTCATGAAAAACTCAGTTTTCAGAGCTACTAACAAGGGAAAGAAAAAAATATGAAGCGGAATGCAGCGCGAAACAAAGTTCAGAGAAATGAGCGCTGAGGACTCCAGACTCTTCTGATTCTTGGGTGTTCCTTTGCCACCGCACTGGGCCCAGACACTTCCTCCCCTGGCCGGCTCCAGGCTCTCGGCGACCGCTCGCTCACATACCACAGGAGTGTGCAGAGTGTGTACATGGGGTGGAAAGAGATGGAGGAAGGCTGGAGTCGCTCTGCCTCCCTCCCTACTGCTGCCCACACCCGGGGTAGAGGGGAGCCAGAATGCACTCAGAATAAGCCTCGCCAAAATCTTCCGGGCTCTGAGAGATCCGAGAGTTCGCTTTCCCCACATCTCCGCCCCATCTTGTCGGACTTTTAATGAGATTAAGGAGAGAAAGACAAACGCAGGAGGAGGAAACCTTACCCAAGCCGCTACACGGGCTCCTGGACAGTTCTGGGACGACCACCCATCCTTAACCCCATTGTTCCCCTTAGGAATTCCTCTCGACCCCCCAGCCACTGCCCCTCCCCCACCACAGCGGACTGAGGCAAAAAGAGGCCCGGAGGCCGCCGCACTGAGGCTGGGGCTGGGACTCAGGTCTCGTCGCTCACTCACCCATCAAAATGCGCATCTGCTTCTTGCCGAAGAGGCGGGAGAACAGGGATGAGATGGTGAGGCCCATGGCGGTAGTGGCACTTGCGATGGGCAGGAGCAGAAGAGGTTTGGAGCTTCCCCCGGCCTCTTCCTTTCACGCTCCCGGCAAATTGAGCGAGAAGGAATAGGCTGAGGAAGAGGGCGGCAGGAACGGCTCGCTACCCGGAGTGTCGGACGAAGCTCCGGTACAGGAATTAGCGGGGCGCGGACCTGCTCGACGACTGGCGCGGCAGCTCCGGCTCTTGTGTTAAGGGTTCGGCTGTGCCACGTCACGCGGCAGCCTTGGTGACTCCGGCAGCGGCCCGGCCCCTCCAACGCGGACAGAATCGCGTCACCACCACCCCATCCCCCTGCCCTTCCGGTGCTGCCCGAGCCACCGCGCCTGCGCACGGAACGGAGTGGCTAGCTTCGCTTACGTGCTTCACTAGTCGACGCCACCTCCGGGACGTGGCTCCGGGAGCCCGGCTGGGTCAGTTAGCACATGCGTAGTGGGAGACAGAGTCCCACAATGCATCATTCTGTCACTTCCAATCAGACTTTACAAACACTTCAGCCGGTTAAGTGCGTCGGGGAGGTTATACTCCTTGCTTCCGGAAAAGTGAGGTGTACGCTGTGAGTTAAGAGGTTGTTAACTTCCGTCTATTCTGCCTTTTGGGCGTCCTCTAACGCAATGGGCATTGGAGATTTCCCGGTCCCACGAACGTACACGTTGCACACGCGGAGCAGACTCTTGCTCTAGTGGAGGGTTGAAGACGGGCCTTGCTTTCTAAGGAGATAAGTGGTTAAAATCCAATTGAGCAGTCGGAGAGCTTATGGCAACCAGTGAAGAAGCTTGGCCTAGGTGCTTCTAACCTCACGCGAGGTCGTACTGAAAATTCCTAATTCTATCTCCACACAAGAGAACTCCGAGACATTTTCAACTGTTGAAGCTTTTTAAGAGAAGCCAACGAGGAAGGCTTGCTTTTCTATCTTTTCTCTCCCAGAAGCAAGTAAGATTGATTCCTTACTGTAGGGGAAGTGGGAAGCCTTCTCACTCTAAAATTATATATGATGTTAATGTTTTTGTGATTACAACATAAGGCATATGTCTTGTAAAAAAAAAAAAAGTATGGAAAAGCAAGTTCCTCATAATCTTCGCTACTTCCCACATAGTCCTACACTGTTGGTGCATTTTTGGATGCTCAACCACTCTAAAGATCTGTTTCAAGTTTTAAATCCTTTGGAAAAACTTTGTTGGCTCGATAAATGGCTCCAGCTCAAAGAATATAACCGGTCTTCATTTTTTTTTTTTAGTCTATTTTATTGATTATGCTATTACAGTTGTCCCATTTTTTTCTCCCCTTTATCCCCCCTCCACCCTGCACCACCCCCTGCCCTCCACCTCCCACCCCTTAGTTCATGTCCCTGGTTTGTATATATAAGTTATTTGGCTTCTCTATTTGCTATATTATTAATGCCCCCCCATCTGTTTTATACTTCCCAATTATGCTTCTTATTGCCTGTACCTTCCTCCCCCAATCTCCCTCTCCCCACTGATAACTCTCCATGTGATCCTCCTCTCTATGATTCTGTTACTGTTCTACTTGTTTGCTTAGTTTTTGTTTTTTAGGTTCAGGTGTTGTTAGGAGTTTGTTGTCATTTTGTTGTTGATAGTTTTGCCCTTTTATTTCTCAGAAAAGTCTCTTTAAGATTTCAAATAATAAGGGCATGGTGACGATGAACTCCTTTAACTTTACCTTATCTGGGAAGCTCTTTATCTGCCCTTCCATTCTAAATGATAGCTTTGTTGGATAGAGTAATCTTGGATGTAGGTCCTTGCCTTTAAGGACTTGAAATCCTCAAGCCCCTTATTGCCTGTTTCTTCTGAGAAATCAGCTGATAGTCTCATGGGAACTCCATTGTAAGTAACTGTCTCCTTTCCTCTTGCTGCTTTTAAGAGTCTCGATTTATCTTGAATCTTTGGTTACCTAATTATGATGCTCCTTGGGTCCAATTTCTTTGGGACTCTGGGCTTCCTGGAAGTCCGTTCCCTTCGCCAGATTGGGGAAGTTTCCTTCATTATTTTTTCAAATAAGTTTTCAATTTTTTGCTCTTCCTCTTCTCCTTGTGGCAGCCCTATGATTTCGATGTTGGAGCGCTGAAAGTTGTCCCAGAAGTTCCTAAGCCTCTCCTCATTTTTTTGAAACCTTTTTTCTTTATTCTGTTCCAATTGGATGTTTATTTCTTCCTTTTGTTCCAAATTGTTGATTTGAGTCCCGGTTTCCTTACTTTCACTGTTGGTTTCCTGTATATTTTGCTTTATTTTACTTTGTGTAGCCTTCATTTCTTCCTTCATTTTGCAACCAAGCTCAATCAATCCTGTGAGCATCCTGATTACTAGTGTTTTGAACTCGATATTATATATGTTGTCTGTCTCCTCGAGACTTAGGTCTTTTCCTGAAGCTTTGATCTGTTTTTCCATTTGAGCCATATTTCTTTGCCTCAGCGCACCTGTTATGTTGTAAGGGGGCGGAGTCTTAGGTGTTCTCCAGGGCCAGGCAGTGCTCTTTGCTTTGTAGAGGCACTGTCTGTGGGGGAGGAGTCAGCTGGAACAATGCTGCTCCCTTGCTCCTCTCTAGTCCCACTTTCCAACGAACTCTCCTGTGAGAGTGGGAGTTTCTCCCACCTTCACAACCCCTACAGTATTTTACAGCTAGAGGTTTTGAGTCTTTAGTTTCCTGATCAGCCAGCCCCTCCCAGCCCAGGAGGTCCTCTCCACCAGCTCGGCTGCCCATCTCTGCCCTTCCTATCAGTCTGAATAAATGTTTCTTTAACTCCTTAGTTGCCAGAGTTCCATGCAAGTTTGCCATTCTGGCAGTTCCAGTTGTTTATTGTTTTTAAATCGCTTGTTATCCTCCTTTTGGTTGTGCAAGGAGGCTAAGTGTTTTTACCTATGCCTCCATCTTGGTGGGAACTCTCTTCACTTCTAATATTACTATTGACAACACTCCTTTTTCCTACTTGTGTGAAAACGCTAAGAAGGCAGAACTCTAGTCCATTTTTATGTTCCATTGTATTCCTTGGATTTGGCATACCATGAATTCAAATATGGCTTAATGATGGAGAGATGGCTGAATAACTATGGTATAGTCATGCTATGGAATACTATCAGGAGTTAGAATGATGTAGAACTATAAATTCAGTTAGTGGAAAAAGCCAAATAATGACACAATACCGTAAAGTAATTTAAAAGTGTAGCTTTCCCCAAGTGTGTGTGTAAATGCACAAGAACTTTGAAGTAGAATCTGCAGTAGTGATAGCAGTTACCTGTTTAACCTCTATGGAGAGAAGAGGGATCCTTCCCCAGGAGTGAAGGAACCTGGTTTGGAAGTGGCAGTCAAAAAACAGTTTTATCTGTACTTAAAAAAATCAACTTTATTGAAATAAAATTTACATGCAATAAAATTCAGCAATTTTAAATGTACAATTTGATAAATTTCAACAACTATATATAGCCAATACCATAATCACGCTATCAATCCTACCTATTACCCCCCAAATTTCCTTCATACTCCTTTGTAATCACCCTCACCTTCAAGCCCCTGGCCCACCATTGATCTGCTGTCACTATAGCTTTGCCCTCTCCAAAATTTCATACAAATGAAATCATATGCTATGTAGTTTTTGTGTGTAGCTCGTTTCTCCTAGCATACTGATTTTGAGATTAATCCATGTTATATTGTTTATCAATAGTTCTTTCTTATTGCTGAGTAGTATTCCATTGAGTGGATATACCAAATTTCTTTATTCATTCACTAGTTGATAAACTTTGGGTTGTCTAGGTTTTGGACTTTTATGAATAAAACTTTTTGAACATTTTAGTACAGGTTTTTATGCCTCTGCATTAATTTTTTTTTTTTTTTTTTACTTTTTTTAACAAGTACTAATACTTTTATTATGGCATAAAGTGGTATTTTATACAGTAACTCAATTTTATAGTAAAAACATTTTATGTACAATTGTAAAGAAACCACTGTACAGATAAATTTAATGTAAAAATGGGTTGTATTTTAAAATATCATAAATTGGAAAATATTTTTTCTATATAATATAGCAAAAATGATAGCATTCCCCAGGCTAGCCCAACAAGCCCACTTCAATCAAGCAGTAGCTGAATTATACATTTATAAATATGGTTTGAATTCTGGGATCCAAGTAACTTTAGCTTCATTTATTGAAACAGCCTTAGTTATGCTTTCCTTCAAATTAAGTTGCATAAAGTAAAATATCCAATAATCTTCCCCTTTTGATTTAGGCCAGATTATTTTTCTTTAGGCTAATCTACATAAAGGTTTTAATGAAGGATAGGTATTGTGTCCTTTTATTATGTACTAGATAAGGTACCCATTTGTATCCAAAGTGAAATGTTTTGGTGGTTATGAAAATATGCTCAGTACTTGAGCAAAACCAGAATCTAATAAATTGTAATCCACAAGATACATGAGTTCTCTGTCATCGAACACCGTCCCCTATATCCCCATGGCTTGACAGGGAGCCATGAGAAACAGGAAGAAAAGTGGTAACATTGACAAATGGATCAAGGAATAAAAGCCAAGAGAATTTCTGAAAAACAGAGAAACACTGGTCAGAATTCAAAGATGGAACTGAACTCCAAACAGGAAAAGGACATTGCCTCAAGAATCAGGGTGGAGTTGTTATCTGAGCCCCTTACAGCAAGGTGATCAAGTAAGAGGCAGTTAAGAGATAAAATACACCACCAAGTGAGAGAAACCAGGTCTGACAAAGATTTCAGTTAGTTAAATAAAAACAAGACATGCCATATAGTTTAACTTCTCCCATCATAGTTTATTCCCTGAGATTCCCAGTACAGAAGTTTCTAGAAATTAAAGCAAGAAGACAATGGCACTCTTAAGCTCCTGGACCATGCAGAAAGTTTCCCAGAAAAGTATTATTTGAGAACTCAGAGACTTATCTGGCCAGAGGTTGTATCAAGTTCTTCAGTTCCCTTAAAACAACATCTTAAAATAACAACATAGCTTGTCTTAAAACAAAAACGTTTCCTAAGTACCTAAAACCTCCCAAAGGAATAGCAGTCTAATAGATTCCTATACTTTGGCTACAGGAACTAGGCCTTTGAGAAACTAATCCAGATCATTTTACCTAAAAATTTCAGTTTGCCTATTAGATGTTAACCTCTGGCAACATTAATGATCCATTAAGTTTTCACCATTAAAGGAATGCTTTATCATACATCTTCACTTGTTTTGCTCTTTGCTCTTAATAGATATTTCCTTCTCGCATATGAAAAGTATTTTCAGTTTTTTGTTTTGTTTTCCT